TGAGTTTAATTTGTTTTAACTATTTCGTATTATTTCCATTTTATTAATTACAATTTATACGCAGGTTTACAATTTTTGAAAACACATCGGGATTCGAACCTGAGATCTCTAGAACATCAGACTTATACGCTAACGCTGAGCTAATGATACTTCGATACGAAGGATTTATTCTTTCCAGTATATATTATGTTACATATTATGTATTTTTATTATTTAATATATGTTATTGTTCGATGCGAACTCGAATATGATGTAAAAAAAAACACAGAACTGCACACTGCACCGGACGTGAAAGAATAAACTGGCGACAATATGGCGACAAAGAAAAAAGACGATGAAGTTCCGACGATGACCGGCGGTTGCCGATCCCAAGTATTTCACGCGGGAAAAACATTCACTCTTATCAAACTGAAATTTCACTTTTGTAGGAGTGGATGTTTTTCGGGCATCTAAATCACTCTTATAGTTAGAGTGAATTTGTTCACTCTATTGCAAGAAGTGAACACATTCACTCCGTAAGAGTCAAAATTGACTTCAAATGGAGTGATCTCCTGTTCGCTCCAGTAAAGAGTGATAAATTTCACTCCTAAAAATTTAGAGTGCAGGTCCGGCAAAAAGGGGCGCGAACCCGCGCCTTGTGACGGCGGCGAGACGCTGCTTCGCCGCAGCGGACTGCGGCGTCACAATATATATATATATATATATGTATATATAATTGTTTCAAATAATAGTAATATATATATATTGTGACGTGACGTTTTTCGACAACGTCCGTCACAAGGGCTCAGTAGCCCGACCACAAAGGCTAAGTGGATCCTGCGTCCTCCGACTTTCGAGGGCGAGCGCATCTACAATTTGCCATGTTCCGCGACTTAAAATTTTATACTAGAATTAAGCAGTTAGGTCATACACCGACCGAAATAAGCGAGGGATGGCGACTGTTCGGAGAAGACTGTATGAAAGCGTCGTCTCACCGGCTCCAAACAACGAGGACTTCCAGGACAAGAAGCTACCGAGACATACACTCAGCGCAAGACGGGAGCACAGATCACGTAACTACTCTTTCTTTTTCTTCCATCACGGAGCCCTCCTACTGCTGTTCTCTTTTACAGAGTCTTCGGAGCGAGCCGACGGCCCTGCCAGGAGGCCCCGGTAGTACAAGGGCGCAGAAGAGCTGACACCATGGCTCGCTCCACGTATCTAAGGCCAGAAGCCCTCCCGGCGAGACCACTTTGAAATCGCGCGCCCGTTATCACGGGGCCCGCGACGAAAGCTACCCTCCTGCGGCGCAGGGGGTCGCGAAAGAGGGACTCACGTGACAGGAAGAGATCGCGAAAACCGGCAGATGGCCCCGCTACCGATGTGCTCCCGGCGCTACGAAGGACCGGCACTCGTGCCGTGATCGTTATAGGGATGGGCGATATAGGAAAAAAAATCGATATCGAAAGAATCGATAAAAATGAAAAAAATCGATATTAATTATCGATTATTGCAAAAAAAATCGAGGAATCGATATATCGATATTATTTTTGAATTTTTAAAATTTGATAATTTTTATAATTTTCTTATATTAACAATTTTCTTTATACTAGCA